TTGAAAAAACAAAATTACACTCACCCGCGCAGACATTGCTGCAGGCGCACATACCTGCGCGCTCCCACGTTCATGTACCTACATATACACGGCACACAATCGCACGAACTCACGCACACAAGAGGAAGCGTAAATCCGACCTTCTCAGACCAAAGCATTCTTTAAAAATTCAGCAAAAGTACCGGTAAATGCAGAGACACAAACTTTTTTACCGAACAAACGGATTAGTCGCGGATAGGAGCAATAATGACGTTTCCTTAACACTTATCGTTCAAATTTCAAAGTTTGATACATCTTTTCATAGGGAACAAAGAATCGGAGCCATTTGAAACTTCGCACACATTTTGTGGGCAACACATTTTGTGGGCAATATGAGCTGAGCTTAAAAAAAACCTAGGCGTAATCATTGCAATACTTATTTACAAAGATACAGTAACTTTTGTAATTTGAGGAAAAAACATCGTTTTTTGACGTTTTTTTACATCAATATTAAGCATAAAAAAAACATTTAATAAAAAACTGATATACCCATCTTAAAGGGTACACTCTCCGCTTTCTGGAACCGTATTTACAATTTCTGTTCGATAGTGGGTTCATGAGATAATGACTATCAAAGGAAAAAGTGTCATTTCATCAAAGGAAAAAGCGTCATTTTGGCTTTGGTAGCTCATAACTTTGCGACCGATCGTCGAAATGAACTTCATGGACGTGCAAATTATAGGGGAAGGAACAAGGAACAGCAATCTGGAAGTGGCATTAATCAAAAAAATTTTTCCATGTCTTTACAAGCCTTAAAAAAAAGAAAAAAAATTCAAGTATTTTCTCATCGCGATTTTTTGTATATTTTGTTAATGATAATGGGCTCAAAAAATTTTTGAGATAAAGGGTCGAAAACTAGAAACCTGAAGCTTCAAAATGACTATTCTGGATGTCTTCTGTGATGAATTTTAACGGAGGCAGAGCAAATTGAAAATGACCTAAAAATTTAAGGAATTTTTCTGTTCTTTTAATTTTTTTGACTAGTGTATAATTTATCCGTTGAACCGCAAATAGTCACGATGAAAATGCATCCTTATCGCCGGGTCGATTCACCGATCCTTACTATCAGAATAAATAATTTACCACACAGAAACTCTCAATTTACTTCACTGTCACCTACCACTGTCATTTTTCATTATTAGTTTTCATTATTCATTACACTTTTCACTAATTAGTCACTGCGAGTCCAACACATAAATACACCGACTGAAAACACGAAAATTCATAAATAATTTTAACTATACTGTCTTGAAAACATGGAAACGAAATTTTCAATTAAAAACTGCGATATTTTATTTCGAATAGTTTCTTTCGACAACAAACATCTCGACTGTCTCGATCGACGCCGTAGTCGTTCAACAGATCATCGTTGCAAAGCAACCGTTTGCGACGTACACCTCGCAATCGAGAACGAAGCCGCGATCCCTGGCCAGTCTAACAATATCTCCTAATAAAATATAAAATATAAATATAATTTAATATCAATTCCTCAATTCGGATTCCTTATAATGAAAATACAGAATACAGTAAATATTCCATATGTACACAAATGATCTGTACGATATGTGCACCAAAGTTATCCCTACCACTGGGGGGGGAAGACCCCTTCAGACGCCGTGAAGCTCGATCGTCGAGAAATGTAACATGATCCGGGGTCGGGTATATCCGTGAAGCAATCCATATACAAATATAAAACTTTTTTAATTTTTATTTTTTCGAGATCCAACTTTTACCAATAGATTCTTGACATTTTTCTGATTAAAAGAAGACCAAACACGACATAATTTGGACTATATTTACTGGTTTAATTAAAAGTGTGATAAAAATTTCTCACGTCGAAAAGGATAGCGAGTCAAAAAGAAAGAGACGCTACAATCGTGGCAGTCGGCAAAGATCAAAAGTCTGTTCGATTGTTTGCAATACTTGAGCATTGCTAATTTTTTTATTTTTCATCCATTTTTTTATATAACTTTCTCCATCATATTCGTGACATTTTCCTGACTAAAATGAGATCAAACACGACATAATTTGAGTTATATTTACTTGCAATATCTTATTAGAGTAAAATCATCGATGTACGCGCAACACTTGAAATTACAAGTAAATATGTCCCGAAGTATGTCGTGTTTGGTCTCATTTTAATCGGAAAAATGTCAAGAATTAATTGGTAAAAGTTTGGTAACGAAAAAGTCAAAAATAAAAAAGTTTTATTCTTGTATTAGGAGTGTCCTTCTAGTAGGTCACTGTTTGTTTACGTTCAGTCTCCTTCGCTCGAAATGTAGGAACTGTACGATATCTGCACCAGTTCGACGTTCGGCAAAACATCAATCAATGTAGGAATTGTACGATATCTGCACCAGTTCAGACCCGAGAATGGTCCGCATATCGAATATTTACTGTATTGTTAAACATACGTATCTGAATAATCGTTCACGCGTTTTCCTTCGGTCCGTTTACCGGCTGTTCTTATGTTGTGCGATTATTAGAAAGAGACAGTGTAATAAATTGAAAGTTCATTGACCCTGCTAGAACATCAGCTGTTAGTGCTGTGATCGGTGAGTCTACCTAGTAACATAAATGTTTTTCATCAATGGTAGTTTTTACATGGAACAATAGGTACGTTTTATCTAAGTTATTTATGTATTTTTTAAATTAAACACAAGCAAGATTTGTTCCATTTCAGTTAGTTAAAAATGTTAATTAATTGTAATTTTATTCTCAACTTACCAAGCCAATTACCCTGACAGTATTTAATTTTTTTGCTAAATAATCTTGAAGTGCATAATTATTATATTACGGGATTAAATTTAATAAAACCCGATATATTTTGCAATAAAAAAATGTATTTTATTTTATAGTCGAGAGGATGCCGATTTTTACAATTATTATAATTTTAAAAACGGTTTTTTTTTTTAGGTGGGGGAAATACATTTATGTACGCCTGAGGTAGTGTGGCACTTATGCGAGAAGCGCATACTATCCTCTAAAACCCCCACCGGAGGATTTATTCCCTCCATTAGAACAGATATACAACAATACAGTGAGTCCCAAAACTACACTGCTGGCCAAAATTAACGCACCACTTTCTTTAGCCGTTTCTTTTTTTATGTTCTGTTGGAGGTAGGACTTTGAAATTTCGAGGATAGGTGGGCCCATGGGTTATCTCAATACTCGAGGAGTGCCATTGTTCCCTGCCACTCCCTTGCGGTATCGGCGACCCCTTGAATGCTAGGGGGTCGAAAAATCGACAAAAAAGGCTCTAAATTCAACAGAAAAAAAGAAAAAATCCGAAATTTTTTTACAGAATGAGGTTCTTTAGGTTGCGGCCTTTCCGAAAATGCCCGGCTCAATCCCCTGCGACACCCCCAACCCCTCCCTAATTTTCCACCCTTCCCTAAGGGATGGTTTTTTCGATTTTGCTCAAACTTGTACCAAAGCTTCTTCTCGACCCCAGTTATACCTGGTAAAAGTTTGGTCGCGTTTGCACCAACCCTTTGGTCGCTACACGCTGTCAAAAAACCACCCCTTGCTACTTTTTCACTTTTTTCACAGTTATAAGTCAATTTTGGGCCTGCAGTTCACGGAAAAACTTGTTTCCGTGCCGACGGTATCGTTCCCGTTGATGGTTTAGGCCTGGCGTGAAACCAACCCCCGCTGAGAGGGTTCTTACTCCCAACCCTCTCAATCCACCCCCGGGGGTGGGCGGGTAAATTGGGTGCATGCG